ATAATTTTAAAACAAACATTAATTCATTCCTACCGGCAATATTTTTTTTTCAAAACTAAGTTTATCGACTGAGACTGATAATATCAAATTTTTAAAATTAAGTTTTAGTGTAAACTGGAAAAATCCACACTTCGATAAGTTTGATTTCATATACCTATTTGTGCAGAATACAGCAACTATCTAAGTGCTTCCGTCAGTGGTTTTAACTACGTTTATCTGTACGGACCGCGAATTGTTAGATGCTTAAAAGACGGGTTAGGTGATATATAGAGAATCTCCTACCAGTCTTTTTTGATATCAAAAAATATCAACACAAGTTGATAAAGTAACAAAAAACGAGGCTCTGCCGAGTTTTTTTTACTTTATCAACGAGTGTTGATATTTTTTGATATCAAAAAAGACTAGGAGGAGATTTTATTTATCACCCAATCCCTTCTTACATGCACAAATAGATAAATATTATTCTTTGCTGTAGATTTCACTTTTACTGAACATAACGGCATAGTGATATATCAAGGTCAATTGAATAACAATAGTTCATTTTTAATAAAAAAAAGTTACTTTAAATAAGAAATGAAGTGTTCTTTGAAAATAAAAAAAACTAGTTCCTTTTCAACTGACCAATCAAATTCATGTAAAGCGATATCTCCTAAGGAGATATCGCAGTAGATTATGAAATATATCACATAAGCGATATCTACTGTAGAATGTATTATTGGGTGATAAAACAGTTTAACGACTGTTATCTTCCAAGTCAATGGTTTGATACCAGGTCTGTATGTGGCAGAGGGGTTGGGTGGACGAATGCGTCATAAGATCTGTCATCTAGTCAAATGGCTGGCTTTCTATACCCTACTTGTTCGTGACAAGGAGTAGGGTCGCTTGTCCAACCTCATGGGTTTTCTCCGCGTCCTCCGGTTTCTCGCCACTGCTAAAGACCCCTACGCGCAAGGGAATTATTAAAATAAAATTGAATCATACGTTAGTCCCGAAATTACCTAGTTTGTGTCAAGTGGACGTTAATTCCCCCTCCCTCTCTCTCTCGCTCGGTCGTTCTCTCTCTCATACGACTAGTGTACCAGCAATAAGAAAATCAGTAAAGGTTGGTTAGAAATATATGGATTTTCATCTTGATTGTTTCTTCGACGGTCGACCGGTAATCGTTTCAAATTCCTGAAACCCGCCATATGGAGTATTTTTGTAAGATTTATCAGATTATCTAAACCACAGCACACAGAAGTAAATAACTGAGCAAGATGTTTGTTTTAGAATACTTGAGACCAACACCGTCTCGTTATATTACGGATGTCGTTTGTTTGTTTAATTATGACGTCTGTTGACTAGAGACTAAGAAGGGCACTCGGCTAGTCTTCAGTCTTATCTTCACTGTACAATGATGCACTATCCAGGGCTCTTATCTAGCTTATCTATATTCAGTATTCCATTATCAAAGGGTATGAGCCGGCCATTAGCTATACATGAGAGAAAGGGGTGGTGGTGGGGGTGGTGGGGGGTGGGGGGTACAGGACAGAGGGCCTGACAAGGGACAACGTATAGTCGTTCCCATGGGACGATAAACCGTGTACACATTGGCATGCACGTAAAAGAACCCTTTCCAGCTGAAATTCGATACAAGAGAGGACCCCAGCCTTCTGCATACACCGCATGACGTAAACCCGTCTTCATTAGCCCTGTCGGGACAGAACAGTAGGACGTTAAACACCATTTCATTTCTTTTCAGGACGTAGACTAATAATTACTTCCTTGTTTGAAGTGCGTCTATATGGAGTAATTCCCCATATCATCCTTTCCCCCTTTTGCATGGTATTTTATGTTGACATTTTGGTCTAGAATCGAGGAAGGGTGTTAGAATTTCCAGGTTTGGTGAATATTCGTGATTTTGGAGATGAAGGATCAGAAAGTATAACACATGAATCAGGGTGATCGCCTACTAAAATGACGCCACTCTCTATAGAATTCTTTGACCAGGGCTAGCAAAGAATCGAAATGGTCAACCGCTTTCAACTATTTTATCAGATGATTGTGACATAATTCGACTCTTTGTGGTTATAAAGATTAAGATCACCGGAGTGTTAACACATTTTTATAGGGGAAAGATTTACGTGTGTTACGTCTCATTCTGGACTTGAATTCTGTTGTTTTTTTTTAAATTCAACAAATTCGTTCGACTTATTGCAGATAAATCCTTCTCCATCGTCCTTTCTGCCTTTTTGCGTGTCCGTTTTTGTTTATATTGTGTTTTCTAAACGGATTTGAAGTTTGATTGTATGCTAGGTTGATTGGTGAATAGTTATGATTTTAAGGTGGAAGGATCGTGTGATAAACATTGGGGAATTCATTATGAAAAATAATATTTGCACCATAGGTTCTTTCGAGCTTGTCACCCACCTTGGTCAGATATTTGTTATATGTTGGATTCTTTGCTGATATAACGGTTAGACTCTACGAACTGTTCCGAAAAAGTTATAGGACCATATATTGTATGCAATTTACCATACAGTCTATGAGTATGACGATTAAATTAATAATCTTTCTATTGGCATAGTCGTCAAAGAGTTATCTCCCATGTAAGATTTTCGCGATAAAAGATATTCAGGTGGCTAAATCTATTTGTTAAGGCCAGCTCTATTTTCGTCAAGTTCGATGAGATGTAATTAATAAGGTTAGGGCAGTGGGAGGAAACCGGAGGACCCGGAGAAAACCCACGAGATTGGACAGGCGACCCTACTCCTTGTCACGTACAACCGGGGATTCGAAACCACGCCAGTTGACTCAATGACAGGCCGTATGATAGAGCACGCACGTGCTAACCATTCGACCCCCCCCCCCCCAACTGTTATGTTACAGTCTCTGATTTGTTGGAGCTTCTGTCTTGTACCTGCGAAAATCACTTCTGTTTTATCAGAATTAAGTTTAATAAAATGGAGTGTCATTCAGTTGTGGATTTCCTTTAAACAACGCTAGATGTTTGTCACGGATGCCTGCTGTGTTTTGGTATCAATGCTGATATATAGCCGAGTGTCTTTGGCAAATAAGGGAATGTTTAATCCATACTTGAGTGCTATCCTCCTCAGAGGTTTGGTGAATATAATAAACACTACAGGACCTAAGACTGACCCTTGTGGTACTCTACAAAACAGGGATGTGGTACTCCACAAAGCAGGGTCATGTCTGTTGAGTAACTACCATTGATGAGCACTTTCTGCTGGTAAGTATGATTTGAACCAATTAAACACTGTTCCTCTTGAACCTATTTCGCCCCAAAGTGTATTGAGGTGGTCCGCTGTGTCCAAGTAGATCATTCAACTGGAGAAGGACAGATATTTCCAAAAGGTTTGACACATAGTTGCTGACAGACCTCTAGTTTTTGAGATAGTTACGATCCAGTGTGGCTGTTTTGATTAGTGGTGTTATTATGACCTGTTTAACGTCATCTGTGAATATAAAAGTTTGAAGGGAGGAGTTAATGATTGCTAGCACAGGTTAAATAAACACATCGATATGGTTCTTTAGTAACCATGTAGGCAATGGATCTATCATGCAAGATTTGGTTTTTGATTTCTTGATAATGTTACGGAGTTTAGGTTCTGAATAGTTGGTGAAGGTGCAGAAAGTGGCTGAAGAAAAGCCTGTCTAAGGTGAGGGTTGTGCTGTACATGATGTCTGATTTGTTATTTTATCTAATCGGATTTACGATATTGTTCAAATGTCTCGGCAAAAGCTACTGATAAGTCATGCTCAGATAGGATGTTTTTCGACTTTGCAATGTTCAGAAGATCGTTAGCAGTTGAATAAAGTTTTTTCGGGCTGGACTTACATTCGTTGGTCTTATTATTGTACTAATTCACTTTTGTGTTAGCCACTAACTTCTTCACGTTGTATATTTCAGAATAAAAAGATATTTTATGTACGTGCATTCCTGAAGACAGCCATGTATGCTCTGTTTTAATACGCAGAATCGATATTGTTATATTTTCTAAATTTGAAAGTTTTTCCTAATTGGAACTTGAGAACCTCCCTATGCAAATGGTATTGAGAAATGTACAGCATAACGGTCACTGATTTCAGGGTAGTATACTTTTAGGTTTGCTATTCAAGGTCCGTTTGACTGGTTATAACCAAATTTAGTAGGGAGCCGCGTAAAACAACCCTTGACAATTGGAATTCGAAATAAGAGTTGGTCGTAGCACTGCCGTCGAGGCAAAACTTCCATCATAGCAAACTGAGTGGCTTATAATATTCTCGTCTTCATTATCCTAGTCGGTGCAGAAAAGTAGGACGTTAAACCCCATTTCATTTTGTCTTTAATGACCAATCCATTTCAAAGGGTATTTGCCAGATATCCTGTATTAACTCAACAATCGGGTCACAGTGTTCTCCTGGGATAATTAAATTCTTTATTATGCCAGAAATATATAGAGAGTAGGTTTACATAGACAATGCCTGCAGTTTAACTCAGGAAATGGACCCCTTTCCGAGCTGTAGCTGTGTCGTGTGCTACTATGAGCATTTTGCCTCGACAGCGGCGTTTCGCGTTTTCGCCTACACACAATCTGATTAAAACACAGATCCAATTTCGTTTCGTTTTTATAGTTCAAAATTTCGTTTTTACTTGTCTTTACTACAGCCCCCGAAAGTATAAAAAACGAAACGAAATATAGATCTATATTTTAATTAGATTGGCCTACACACGGATGGACCTCAGTTTCTTGAAGGGGAGGAGGCGTTCCTTGCCATACCCTCCCGTCCAGCGCCAGGGGAAACAAGTGAAAATCACGACGAATAACTTTTTCGAACAACACTGGGATAGGTACTGGAATTACCACACCTTAAGTTTCTGGCTAATATTTACTGTCTGGTCGGGGCTTCGTTGCAGTTTATGATTACAAGGACAAACCCATTGTTGCAGAAACTGTCAAGAATAGCTTCTTATATGTTTTAATGGCAATGAATTAAAAGTCAAAAGTTTAAACAAACAAATTTTATTTCATTTATTCAAGCGCAAGATTTGAATAATACACTGTTAAATAATTACATGTACATTTTTTTTAAAGCACATCATCGAAATTATTTGCCATCTCTTAGTTAAAGCAGATGATATTATATGATACAGACCATTGATAACTGAGATAACTTAGATCCAATTATTTCAGGGCAACGATGATTCTGTATGGATTGTGTTTCTGTGAATATTCGTTTGTTATTTGAATAAGAACGGTTATTAAAGGGACAATCAGATTCAAAATTCCAGTCTAAGGGTAATGGTAAGCCTACACCTGGAGATATTGGGGGGGGGGGGTGTTACAAATATATATTCTCTGTAGTTTCCACTCACTAAAAGTTAGGGGTGGCCTAAAATGTCTACTGTCGTTAAATATTTTTGTTTACGAGCACCTGATATAACTTCTCATAATTTGAAGGGTCCAAGTACATGTATTCTACGCTAATTTGTCATGTACTTTTGCATCAATACTGAATCGTGTGTATATCTGACCCAATTAAATAAGACGCACTAAGCGAAGCTATTACTTTACAATATACACTGTCAGCTGTATTTCAAACTGATTAAATGGGGTGAAAACTGGCAAGAGTGCGAAAAAAGTTTGGTAGCACCCTGGCCCTAACTTTAAACTACTGCTATACCATAATGTTTAATAGAAGGTAACAAACTACAATAAATTAATGTACTATAGAATATAATTTGCTACACATACAATAACAATTCTAACAACTTGGTGACATTACGAAATCAAGACGAAATAAAATGTTAGATATTTGATGAGTGTATTTTATTTTGTACAACACAATTGTGAAATCGTTAACCAACAATCAACGTAAAGAAACTAACTGAATCCATTCCACTACAATCTTTCGCTAATTTACATTTATTTCAGAAAGGTCAAAAATGGTCGATAAATAATTATGGGTCATGTCTGGCAATAAAAGTTGCATGGCCGAAAGATATAATTTTTTAGGCATTAAAGGACAATAATGCCGTTCACCAATGAAATTTGGTCATTCACAGATTCCGGATATATAGATCTTAAATACAGATCTGTTGCTATGGTTCATCCGTAACGTCTATACATAAATGACGAATGTGATGCAAATACAAGATAATCCAATCCAACTCTTGTTGAAATTAAACAATGCAAGGCTTTCATTCATCGACTTTAAAAGAGTCCTATGCTAATTATTATTTGGCTGGATTTTATTAACGCATTATTTTCTTCATTATAAAGTTTAGATTGCTGTTATCGTATAGTTAACATATTTTATTTTAAGAGACACATTGACCAATTCTACACTATATTTAAGAAATTTAATGTGACAAATAATAATAATATAACCGTATAAATATTGGCTATGTTATGGCAATTGTGATAAACCACAGCAAGCATTCCTTCAATAATATCGGTGAATATATTATTCTGATGGTATCGTCACAATTTTATGGTTCTACTTTTCTACAAAAGGATTTAAAAATAGTATGATAACATGTAAGGCAATTGAATACAAATAAACTTGATGCTAATGAAAGAAAATCAGGTATTTGTTATAGAAGCACGTTAATGCGTTGATATTGGATTGTCAAACCCCATGTTCCAGGTAAGAAAAATATAAAACTCTTAAAGCATCTAATCTACTGCCTTAATGATCCAATGCAAATAAATATTATATTAATTTCGTTTCGCTTCTTGAAACATTTTAACTGTTAAAAGCTCTACACTACCCCGTGATAACTATACATGAAACTCATTCTACCACTATTATACTTAATCTATGGTTGTTTGCACTGTAAATTCTCAAAACAGAAGGGTGCGGATCAAAATTGACTTTGATTCCGATAACTAAATGTATCAGACAACCCAAAAGGAATTATATAGGAAACGGATCCTAATTTTGAGGATTAATTAAATGATAAACGTTTACTCATGTCTTCTGATCACAATCCTTCGTCTTAATCGTCTTCGTTCACACACCAAGTTTTCTTCGTATGATAATCAAGCAATGGATCAGCGTTTTAATTATTTAACCAACACAACTAAAGATGTTAAAAATTACACTCTATGAACTCCAGATCTCAATAATTGTATTCAGAATATTATCATTAAGCACTAAACTATATAATCATCTATAAAATTAATATTGCACATATATACTGGTTAGACACATTAGTCCACGTTCTCCAATCAAGCTGAGAGGCACAATAACAATACTCGTATGGAAGCTGCAGGGCAGGCACATCAAACTAGAATTCATCTGGTTATTACTATGTTTCTTTGTCGTCCGATCAGCAACATGATTATGTTCTTAATATCAAGTGTGTTATTGTTTGAAACTTGACATCGTATACGCACATATGATAATGCAGACAAGATGAATCAATACTGGACACAATATGATAGGCACACAGGGTATTACAACACCAACTTTGTACCATGTTCTATACACAATATATAGTGTGTGCAAACACAGTTAGCGAAAATTCACGTCTTTGTTTATTATTGCACTATCTGTACGCCATATTTATGTACACATAAATGCCTGTGAAATGCATAAAGATGCTTTAGTGATCTTTGAAGTAGAATGTTGAAGCAGGAACTCTGTGAAGAATCTTACCACCATGAATTAAAGCTGAGTAAAAACTAGAGATGTTTTATTAAAACGTATTCAACCATTCCATAACAAAAGCCATATGTCGTTTTAAATGATTACATTTACAGTCGCATGATTTCACTGAAGATATCTGTATATCTTAAAGCAGTGGTTGCCGGAGTCGGATACAGCTATTTGTCCGTCTGTTATTACAGCTAACCCTTGTGGCCCATACAACAATTCAGCTGATGTATTCACGTAAGACAAGAACGAGCCTTGACTGTCGAACACCTGTAACACAAACAATAATTAGATGTGGATTAGCCGTATCGGACCGGTATGTATGCAATTATTGACCCACAGTCTAAACCTGTACACTTTAAGTGTTTCAGTTAAACACAAATTACTTTTGTAGTCGATATATAGCTAATAATTTGATCTAGTTCCTTATGATGATCAACAGGAATCACCTACTGAACTACAAGGCCTATAACAAAGGAGTTAGCCACATGACTTACTGGCTACAGACATGGAACAGTCTAAGTCATAAAGTAACAGCGAGACTGTACTATCCGGCTATCTTTTAAATATCAAAGATCCATGGATTTAAAATGACAAAAGTATGATTTCCGATGCAGTTGAATGTCGAAAATCTCCCTTAGAGGTTAGAGTAGACAAGGAGGCATATGGGTTATACATCTAGTCTTTAGGTCAAAATCTGAATTGCCCATCTGATCCCCCACCTGCAACGAAAATATTCAACAGTCAAAAGTTCTTACCTGAATTCTAGAGTTTCCCCAATCGGCTACCAGGATGTTATCTTGACTGTCCACCGCTACACCAGTGGGGGCATTGAACTGACCATTACCTTGACCATTAGAACCGAAACAATGCAAAAATTGACCATCACTATCGTAGACCTTTACTTTATGGTTGTGGAAATCCGTGATGATTATATCATTATTGGAATTCACAGCGACATAATGTGGCCCAGCAAACTGGTTATCTCTATTTCCCGGAGTACCAAACTGAGCCAGAAGTTTTCCATTGTTCTGGAAGATGCAAATAGTACTGCTTTTATTATCCACAACAATAATCCTACCATTTTTATCCACAGTTACGCCCTTTGGACCTAGAAGCTTTCGGGATCCTATTTTATTTATATATTTTCCATCTGGACCAAAAATACTGATCCATCGATTCTCGTAATCGGCAATCAAGAAGTTACCGTTATTGGTAACACTGACTCCCGTCGGACGCTGAATCTTTCCTGCTACTCTACCCGGGGATCCGAACTTCAGCTTACATTCTCCGTCCAAGTTAAAGACTTGAACCACCTGGTTATTGCTATCAGCTACCAGTATCTTACCATTAGCACAACAGATTCCCTGTGGGTTGATAAACTCGCCCTTATTACGTCCTTTGATTCCAACTCTCATGATCAAGTCGTCCTCTATCATGGTGTTTTTGGCTGTCATAACATATTTTGGTGGTGATTTGTTATTTCGACCAGGTGGTTTTGACTGTTTCTTCGGTATCCGAGAAAATGTTATTTCTGGTTCTATTTCCTTCTTTGGATCAACTCTGAATGGGGAATTCGTTATGGATTGTCCATAGATTCTAACGTGGACGAAATGCACACAATCTTTAGCAAGTGTATATTTAATATCGTAACAACCAGTCTCCAACTCCGTCACCGTAGCGATCGTCTTCTCTGTGCTGCCATCGTCCACGACTTCTACAACTAAAGATGCTTTCTCGATCTGTAAAACCCTGTCCTTTATGGTAATGTTGAATTTTGCTGGTCTTCCTAAAACGAAGTGCTTAATGCCATCTCCTTTTATCTGCACGTCTAATCTAGAAGCTCCTGCACTTTGGATGCATCCAAACGTTTTCACAAGACCCTGAATCTCTTCCATGCCACTAGAATCAAAGAGCATCGCACATGGAGGCTCTGGGGCTTCTTGAACTGGAAATGCCAACAAGTCATTTAGAGACTGACGCTTCCATTTGATCGTTGCTAAAAGATTTGGGTCATCTTCAGATTCGAAGGTTGCGTTGATAGCCGTATGACAACAATTGGTGATAATCGTTAAGGTATTGTATGCCGAATCTCTTTGCTCAGATAAACGATCTTGTCTGTTTTGCGTTATAGCTGTTACCTCAGAAAGCATTGCATGTCGTCGTTCTTCTAAGAGCCGAGCTAAGGTATCAAACTTTTGCGTTATGCTGTCCGTCACTGATTGATAACCTCTGTCCACATCGATTCTTATTTCGTCCAAGGTTGCTATGGAATTTTGCAATTTTGGGATAGTATCTCTTTTAATTTGGCTGATAGTGTCCACGAGGACGAACTGTTGTTCACGGACACTTGTGTCACGATGAACTGCCTTAACGTGATGTGAAGAGTGCTTCTGGGAAAAGAGAGTTTCCGTTATAGATATCTGGCAGTCCAGACAATATTTCGTAATGATTGTGTCTTCTGCTTGGGGTTCTGGTGAGGTGAGGTTTGAGGTGAATTCAATATGATTTTCTATACCATTCGTCAAAGAGTGGATGTTGTTAGCAACCGGAATTTCTGTAGAAGCCATTCTGTGTCTTGCAGTTAGAAGAAGTATATACTGGAATCTCAGTTACATTGCTTTTTTACTGTGCTTCCTGAAAATAAAGAACACAAAAGTGTCACGCGACATGGATGTCACATTAAAGCAATCTAATGATTAAAAAAAATCCACAGTGTGAAAAAAATGGCACATAAACAATCATCATGCTGAAATAATAGTACAACAAAAATGTGTACCTGATACCTCAATTGGGAAGTGGTACAGAGTGTTCCAGAAGAGGCAAACATACACTGTATCGCACAAGGCATCCTCGTCTACATATATTGAGCAATAATGTGGATGCCCCAATTGGGAAGTGGTACTACCTGTTCCACAAGTGGTAATCATACACATTTTCTTTTTACTTTGAGCAATAGTATGGATGTGGATTTCAGAAGCCGAAGATATAGCTACCCAGTTCACACAAACCTTGTTATCTCACATACATTAAGTATAAATACACAGTTATTCAGAATATGTTTATGGGGACCGGTTCTAGCTAGTTATATTGCAAACCTATGTACAGTATGTCACACTGTAAACTTGATTTACATATTGATCTACTGTTATCTTGGTGCATAGTATATATACATAACAACACCTGCGAAGTTAATATAATTCAATTATATTACAAGTCTGTAAACTAGGCACAACTAGGCATTTATCAACGGATCTGAAGCACTGGGATATAGGGGGAAGGGAAGGGGCACAGGAGGGGGGGGGGGGTTATAATTGAATTTTGTCATACCTTAGAGTGGATTTGGCAGTTTTAACCGAGGAGGAGTGTAGAGAGTACTTAGGGAAGCTTATAAGAGGCTACCCAAAAATAGTTCAAAGTAAACTGAGGAGTCCCACGAGGCTGGACAGGAGACCCCACTCTTTATCACGTACAAGGTGTATCGTTGACTCAATGGCAGACCTTATGATTTGAAGCGCACGCGTTAACCCCCCCCCCCCGCCCCCGACGATATCAGGGTTAAAGTAAAACAATAAGCGATAAATGCAGCAGAAATTAGGTTATTGCCACACTGCTTCTTTATATTGTCCCCCCCCCCATGGCCCTCTTAGACGATATCAGGGTAAAAGTAAAACAATAAGCGATAAATGCAGCAGAAATTAGGTTATTTCCCCACTGCTTCTTTATATTGTCCCCACCCCACCCCTCTTAGACGATACTATGATTAACCACATACGTTGAAAACATAATACAGAACATTTTTATAATTTACTCCCCCTTATTTGAGGTGTTCGTGAAAATAACTAATTTTACATAGTGCTTCGTGCAAATGGGCTGGTGAGCATTGCTTCAAACTGTCGCACCATATAGCTAACGATAATGACATGTACGAGTAAGGGTTTGACATTTCAGTATTTCTGATAAATAACTGTTCGCTGTTCTTTTCTAAGAATAAAACAGAGTACACAACCATACAGTACACAACTGTATTTTAAAAAAGCCTAGGTCATATCTGCAACATGTTTCGAACATTTTCATCATCTGCATTTTAATATAATTATCACACCTGGAACTGTTCTCCTCCATTTTAATAATAAAACTCGGTTAACTATATTTCAAAACATATATTTTACATTGAAATTCAATAATAATGCATAGGTTGATTAGCCTAGTTAATAATAAATGTATCCATCAATATTAATTAGGCATGCATATTAATATTTGTATACACTGTAACTAGTCAGATATCGACAAATCTACACCATCTGTTACCAAATGTCGACGGCATTTTAGTATAAATGCATAAAATTCTGTGAACTATTTTACCAATGATAATATGCTATTCGCTTATGATATATATTTTCTAAAGAAGACGTTTTCCAACCTGGTTTTTCAATTCTTACTGGAGGTAGAATGATCATCAAGAATAATCCAGTGCAGGATTGCTTTAAGAGAAATCCATAAACAACTGATCAAAGTCGCTAATGATAACATTCGTTTGCAAAGGCTTGCCGATGCCCCGTGCCAACATATCTAAGAACAAAAGACATTTTATATTTGTAAAAACAGATGAGATAAAGTTTTCATTCAAAAGTTAATAAAGATAATTTTAAATTTCAAAAAAGCTTAATTTCACTCTTTGATGTGATTACCCACTGAAATGGCGTCCCGGGACCGCCGTAAACTCTGCCCTCATAGCACACTGTATATGCCCGTCTTCATTAGCCCAGTTTAGGAGCACAACAGTAGGACGTTAAACCCCATTTCATTTCATTTCATTTCGTCGTTTTCAGACACAATTTATCATTTCAATTTATTATAGGCCCTGCACGCATGATTGATTAGATTTGACATCATTTTGTAAATTAATACATATTGGATGACATTTTATTTTTAATGATCAACACTCGCAAAATTTCTTTTTAAATGTACTAAATTTCAAATTAAACGTGTCCAATATTCTGTCAATAATAGAGAAGCGTCAAATTATACGGTGCCATAGATATATGGAATGAAATGGGGTTTAACATCCTACTGTTCTACCCCGAATGGGCTAATGAAGACGGACAGTGAATTGCAACTGTCAAGGGTTCTTTTACGTGCACGCCAATGTATACACATAATCTCAGTTATTTTCGTACCTTCCGTATGGTTATACACTGTCTCTTGCCAGACACTATATATGTCCTGCACCACTAACAAAGGGGGGAGGGGGCACGCAGGAAATCCAGGTTCGTTCCCGAGGCTGAGAGAGCCCTAGGTATAGTTTGCTTACTTCTATAATGAACATCTTCAGACCACCAATTAAATATCTGTACTAAAGCAAAACCAATACCCTTTTACAGTAGTAATACAAACAAATTTCCAATCTGTTTGTATCTTTATTTATTCAATTTCGCCTTTATGGTCCTAATTGTGTCCACCTGACAAGATCTGATATGACTTCAGCAGTGTTATGCACGAGACTTCCCTGGGGTTATGAATAGGTTATGAATACGATGTTCTAGCGTGATTGTGAAAGGTAATTATTAATTAGACATTAATTAACTTATCTAGACCATAATCAACTCTCGATGTCATCGCTAGCCTGCGATATTTACTGGATTAGGATCCGATTTGCTGCTCAACTATGTTTTTTTTTATCGTACCGACTTTAGTAATGATGATCGAGGCTAGGCCAAAAATTCAATCGCTAAATTCTCGGTTCAGAGTGGATCAATTTGACTGAAATTTTCAGCAAATTCCCTTTACATTATCTAGTTTTTAACTATTATAGTGAGAACTGCCAGCTCCTTATCTAATCTCCCATAATGTATATCTAAGTAAACTTGAGATTGGGTAAATTATAAAACGTCCTGAAGAACATCTGACTGCAATCAGATTCAACACGTTTCAAGCATTTACCATTTTCAGTACGGTTAAAACTGACGAAATAATAGACAGAATACTAATTTGCGTCCTGCGGATATCTATGAACTTAGTTTAATGTATGACATAAAGATATAGTGCATCATTAATAAGATTGATCGCTTGACTGTTTGTTACATCCTATACTGTATTGTATCTAACCATGTTAATATAAAAAGTATTAATAAACCCCATCATCCATAAGTTAAGTGGTAAATAGGTTGAATTTGCCATAATTCTAGGCAACTTGCTTATTAACATCATCAAACTAGTCTTTGAGATTTCTAATGTTCTTTTTCACAAAATTGCATCCTGACTGCCTGTCTTGTTGGTTGTTGCAAGCTATGATTGTTATGATTTGTTTTCAGAAACCTATTATACTATTGTGTCAGTGCTGGATAAACCATTAAGCCAAATAAGCACGTGCTTAGGACATCATGCTAATGGGGGCACCACAGAATGGCCACTTTGTTAGATTTCAAATTTAAAATATTTAATTTAAAAATTAATGAAGAACTTTCAATTAATAAGGACGAGTATAAAATCTCAGACTCATGGCGATTGTTGGTTATTTATAATTGTTTATATTTTGAATAACATATACATAGGGGCACTAGGGCCTCTGTGAGTTTTAATCCGGCCCTATACAGTGTTATTGCAACAAGTAGACATGAGAATAAACATGGTTGGCGTGGCATTATCAGGGTCCTAGACAGGTATTTTAGATATGGGTAGAGAAACGTAGATTTACAATGGGATACGAGGAGCGTATTACTGGAAAATGTATAGTTTTGTGGACAATTTCAATGCTAGACATTCATAAATTGGATCCATTGCAAATTATTGTAGGGGGCGGAGATGCCATAATCATAATTAGGTTGGAACATAAGATGTGTTTAACCCTAAGACTCTATTCAATGTATTCTTATCGTAAAATGTTACCATTTGTCTGGTGCTACATTCGCTACAACATGAAGAGATAAGTTCAGTTTCCAGTAACTGATCCGCCGGTGTACCCCCACCCCCTCATCAGTCACGAACAACGACTGTTTTTTCTCACAATATGTAAACATCACTCATCCTTGATTATAAAAGGTCAGCCGATAGAAGAGTATAAAAACCTACCACGGAGTTTCAAAGCTAGAAACACACGTGAGATGCTCCATAACGTGCCCCTGAAAGAGTGCACCGAGTGCACCAAGCACACCCTAGCTATAGCACGACAATTTGCAATACCATATTATATTCATAGATAACATTTCCGGCCACGTGAAGCTGTATACATTACCTGCGTAGTCATATCCTAAACCATTGCCATATCACCAAAAGTCACCAGTCTCAACATACAAAACACGTGGCCAAGATGGAACTTAATGCAGAAACTAAGAAGAGTCTGTCCTATAATTTCCTATAATAATGCTCTCTACAAGAATTTTGTCTTCTTCAGCAAGTTAACACGTCCTTCCATTCGGTCGCCGTGTATTGATTTCTCCCGGCTTCATTATCATAACCGCCTAGCTTAGTCACTAGTGTGGAATTTAGTGAAACGAGGTAAAATCGATCTGGAAAGCTCGCAGCTATATGTTATTGACAATTTTATAGTTAGCTTATAATATAATACTATAAATTATATTTTATGTCATATACCATTTTTATTTATCATAAAAGGCTTAGAGAAATACACCGCAGATATAAAAATTAAAACTGGTTTCAGGGTCTTTTATCAGAACAATCATTCAAAATTGAAAGTGGTTTATCTCAATGTTAACGGATCTTTGTTGTTGTGTCTAAAGTCCATATCTAATCTTGTATTTTATACATAGTGATTCTATTCTCACGAAGTAATTAAAAGGTTTGTGGCTTTGATATCCAGTGATATTCTGTCATCTATTTATGATACCACACAGACGGCGATACCAAAAATGATTTTTGGGTTACAGCACATTCGCCCAAAGCTGTTTTGTTTCATTTTTTAAGTTACGGTCTTTTCGAATACAATTTTTAAATTGTGATACAATTTCCAGATCCACGGAAAACTCCGCGATACCTCCCTGAATTTTCCGCGAAATATTATTTGCACTGAGGTATCCCCAAAGCATCGGCGAATGTTGGCGACGGTTCGATGGCCTTTCGGTAACACATTTCGTGGTTGCATCCCCGAATATTCTCGGGGATTGCGGCTGCGGTTGCGATCCGTGTGGAACCATCGGGAGAAAAGTTGTTTATTTCCACATCGCCGATGATTTCCCACCAGCGTGACCTCGGTATTATTGTACTTAGTGTACGAATAAAGGTTATTATTATTACACAATGCATCTTTAAGATTTGTTCAAATACATTTGTGAAACGATTGTGTAAATCATGTCTTCGGATTACAGCTCCCATAGTTCCAGGAACATGAAGTAGTATGCCTCCTAATACCACTTACAACTAATTTCACCAAGTTATATCGCAATACATTGCACGGATTTGACATTAGCGTTTATGGATAAAAGAAAAGTGGGCTTAGTCCTTACCCATAACCTGTTCAATCACAAGTGACCTCCCTTCCATCATCTCCAACATTTCCAGCGACTTGTTATTGGAAAAAACATGTTTTAATGCAAATAAGTTCAACAAGAAGTCAGTTCATCATTAGAATGAATAACACTAATATGTAAAAAGAAAGGCAGTGATTTGTGTAGAAATAGACGAAAAGACATTTCAATGGCTTTGGAGATCTTCCCTGGTCGGTAATATGAATATGTTTGGATTACCATGCTTCTTTTACCCACTTCTCGGGGGGTTGGATGGCCGAATGGTTAGCACGTGCGCGCTGTATCATTAGGTCTGTCATTGAGTCAGCTGTACGTGACAAGGAGTAGGGTCGCCTGTCCAACCTCGTGGGTTTTCTTCGGGTCCTCCGGTTTCCTCCCACTGCTAAAGACCCCCCTACGCGCAAGCGAATTATTGAAATAAAATCGAACCATATGTTAGTCCCGAAATGACCTAGTTTGTGTCGAGTGGACGTTAAACCTCATTTCTCTCTCTCTCTATATATCTCTACCCACTTTATCTGGAAATGTATAAACTGATCTCATTTTCAAACAATATTGTCACATTTATTTGGCACACAATTGGCGGAAGTATTTAATTTTTTCAAATATTTATAGTGAATGAAAGTGGGTATCAATAGTCGCAGAGTTATAATCTATAGCTATCACGATAAGATGTTTGATTTCATGCCTCTCAGTAGACCTTGGGGGTGGGGGAGGTTCAAGTGGCGTGGTTTATTTTCCCCCAAAGTATCTCGATCAATCGACCTAATATCTTGCCTGGTCGGCTCTTCCCCGTACCTCTCTCAAACTCGGACGCACTCACAAAGATCGCATAGTCCTCAGTCGAGAAGGGTGACGGTCAGGAGTAAAAACTGGAGAGCGCGGCTCAGTGAAGAATCAACCGCTCCTATGAATTCCACAGCCCGGGTAGCGCAGGTCGTCTCTTCCCCCGTATCTCTCTCAAATTCCGACACTGGCACTTCTAGTCACGCCCTTGCGCCTTTAGTTTGTGAGGACGGGTATTAAGTCGATCGATCGAGATATGAAGTCGATTGATAATTTGGAAAAAATATAATCGATCTCGAGAACATGTGTGTGAGTTAGTTGTATTTACGCCCGCTTCCACCGAGGTGATATCGCAGATATCGAGAACATGTATTTGAGCTACTATTTATACCTACAAACAATCGAAATATTTGAGAAAGAGGTCACATATAATTTAAGTGTTATAGTTACTCATTGCATTATTTTTGAATGATCTCATAAATGTTAACTTTTATAAACACTGTGAACTTTCTATTGTCGCCTTGTTAAAATTTGGAAAATCCAAATGCACATAATGTAAGTCGTGTAAACATATGCATGCTTCTTTACAATTGGTGTCTCAAACAAACCCACAATGAATAATGTTGACAACTATTTAACTATTGTCTGTGGTGTTTGGAGGCTATTCATACTGTTTAAGTTACATAAAGGTAGCTCCATAGAAATCCACACAGAGAAAGTAAAATTTACTCATTAACGAATGGGTTTGTATTTAACAATATGTTTTGTCAATTCAGATTGAATTAAAGTGAAGGTTTCTAAAATACATTACACGGTTTCCTATTAGCATTTTTATATTTCCCATTGGTAAAATCAGCCTGGATCTAGGGATTTGTTGCACGGTTGGACGGGGTACCCGGTTTGGCTTGGTACCTGATTTATATGCCTTGGATGTTTTCGCAAGTAAAATGGTAAACATAGATCCGAGGAGGAGAGCGAACAAGACAATATGTAAATAATAATACTAAAAATAAACCTGCTGGGTTGTTTAAAGCCATTCCACTCTATAGCAAAGTCCTTCTCGGCTATTATAAAATAGGTCAAGTTCCATAATATCAACAATTTACGCAGCTGATGTACTTTCACCAGAGCCCAAGCGCAAGAAACCGAATCAAACCGGGTGCTCAGTCAGACTGTGTAGAGGACGTGGCTATACTATTTTATCACCCAATAAAACATTCTACAGTAGATATCGCTTGTGCGATATATTTGATAATCTACTGCGATATCTCCTTAGGAGAATTTGATTGGTCAGTTAAAAAGGAACTACTTTTTTATTTTCAAAGAACAGTTCATTTTTTCAATTAAAAGTAACTTTTTTTTTTATATTAAAAAAAAACAATTTCTATTTAATTGATGGAAACACTGGGTCAATATAAAGGACTTTGCAATGGTTGAATTGCTGTTAAAAGATATTGTATCACTACGCCGTAATGTAATCAGATTCAGTAAAAGTGAAATCTATAGCAAATAATTATATTTATTTATTTGTGCATGTAAGAAAGGATTGGGTGATAAATAAAATCCCCTACTCGTCTTTTTTGACATCGAAAAATATCAACACTCGTTGATAAAGTAAAAAAAAACTCGGCAGAGGCTCGTTGTTTTTTACTTTATCAACATGTGTTGATATTTTTTGATATCAAAAAAGACTCGTAGGAGATTTTCTACATCTAATTGATTTGACCCGAGAACTTGCAGGGATTGGAAATGAAGTTATTATGCCTTAATGCTAATATATTAGAAGCCATTTTGTTTTAAAAATTAGAAAAAATACATGATATAATTTTGTTGGCGTGACTTTATTTAATCTTGATGCAACCTCCTATGTCACTAACTATTATTCTTTTGTATTGACAGTGTTACAAATGCTTTGCCCCTTTTAAAACTTGCCGTCTGTATGTACGCAGTAAACTAGATACTTCAATAACGTCAAACCAATAACCAAGCACACTGGTGGGCCGCTTTTAAATATTGAATGATGCACCTTTCTCGGCAACTAATGGACCGATTTGTTTTATTTAATAAGTTACCACCTCTTTAGTAAGATTTTATTGTAAATCCACAAGTAACTGTGATCGACAATTTGACGAAACTCCCACTTTAAATAGTCACGACTTCTTTCTTTGTAAAATCCTATAGCCTCACATGGTCTAGATACAGCTTACAAGCACACATTAAAATGGATTCATTTTTGATGACATGTCTTCTTATCACCGTGCCCGTGGTTACAGTTAACGGTTATAACACAGGCGCTCCAAAAGAAGCGTGTACGAATTTGATGCCAAACCACAGTGTTGTAGCACAGACATCGCAGTCACCTTATTCAATCAACGTTTCATCAACATCATATAAACCTAATGGAACATTAACAGGTATGGTACGATATTAATTTCGATATCAAAAATATCTGGTTCAGATGTTAATTTCGCTATCAAAAATATCTGGTTCAGATGTTTATTAAAGATGCATTATGTCAGATTTAGAAGAAAAAAAAAGGAAATGAAATAAAATTGGGTTTTAACGTCCTACTGTTCTGCTCCGACTCGGCTAATGAAGGCGGGCATGCGGGGGTCTTTTACGTGTACGCCAATGTCTACGCGGGACCTCGGTTTTTCATACCATCCGAACGACGAGACAGCTGTCCTTGTCAGACCCCCCGTCCTGCACCACTGAAAAGGGGAAATCACGCCAGAACATCTCGACGAACTTTCTCGGGCAACACCGGGAGCGAACCCTTCAGGTAAAGAGCTGGGTTTAGATAAAGAACTGGTCGGTCTTGCTATAATAGTCAAAATCAGGTAATGAAAAATGAATATATTGCAATTTCAAATTACTCTATTCTGAATGTTCGAAGTTTTCACAAGAAATAGCATAAGTGGATTGACACATTGATTACACCATCCCGTGACCTGGACGTAGTCATTTCATTTGCTCTTACAAATCTCCTATGATATTGTCGATTGTTCAGATACATTCGTCATTGTCTTAAAAGTTGTTCACACTTTTCTTCACCTTGTCAGGTGGTTATAGAAATCTGATAATGGCTTAATTCCTATACAGAAATAAAATTATAGCGTTTAATGTCGTACTTTTCTGCACCAACTGGACTATAAGGAAAATC